AACAACGCAGGGCTTAATGGATTGCTGCAACTAAAAGCTCGATTTTCCCCTAATAATAATACCTTAAGATATTCACTCTCCATCTCAGAATTTATTAATAAATTAAAAAATACGTAGAAACACTATAAACACTATAAAATCCACTTTGAAAACAACAAGGGCAAGAACACTAAAAAATACGTAGAAATACTAAATACTATAAGATTCACTATGAACACAACAATGACCAAAACCAATGAAAAATACGTAGAAACACATAAAATTCACTTCGAAAGCAGCAAGGGCCAGAATACAAATGCTCTCCTTATGAATGTCAAACGTCACCGGCTTGTCACCGCAATATTTGACGCGAACGGCCATTATAAAATCACGTGATTGAGATTGCCTAATTTGATTGGCCAGATAGGCCAGAGAATTTTAATACCGCGACACTTACGAAATTATGTGAAACCAATGAACTATAACCAAAAACTGGAATGCGAACACATATTGACGAACGTGAAGCCTAGTGCCGCTGCTGCGGAGGGGATACGTCGCACTCATTATGTTAAATGGCGGAAATTGACCTTTTCAATTTAAAAGCCTCTCTCTCTGGCTTCAAACTGTCAGGGGGGGTTTATTTGAAATCCGTGCAAATCTTTCATATACGACTCAAGTCGGTCGAAATATGTGCGTCGACGAATTCTAAAAATTCACGATCGGCTTATTTGAAATCTTGTGCATTTTGTAAATCGTGAATTTTTAAATTTGCACTACTCAACTTGGCAACGTGTCCTGTAAAAGATTCTAACCAATGAAATTGTTAGAAAATTTCATATGACCAAACGGAACGATGCATTGAAATGTCAAATTTGAAATTGTTTACCGTCAACAACTTTTTTGATTATTTCCGTGCATAAAGTTTCGTGTTTAATTGGAGTTTTTTTCGTTTTTTTTTCTGTTGATATTATCTTAGTTCATTCTTTCTATAAGTGTAAGGCAATACTGCAAAAAGGATAGAAAGTGCGGGGGCAAGTGCCAATAAGAGAAAGTCCGGATTTGTTAGCAAAAAAACAGAAAGAACTCTTGGTCGAATTTTTTGAACAAATATCGGTCCCTTTTGTCGGGAAAATTTTCGAACTCCTTTTCATGAAAGGAATTTCGAAAAATTCTTTTGAAAGTCGAAAGTTTTTTATAAATTCCCCGTCATTACCTATTATAAACATTGTTAATGCATGCATCTATTCTTGGATTTCTGATGCCTTTGCGGTTATGGTTATACAATTGGGCCCTTTCTAGAGCATTTAAATTAACAATATTTTCGAATTCCATGGAGCCCAGAATATTCTTTTTCTCCAAACGTCAAAAAAACGTCACTTTGTCTGTCAGCACCTGTCAAGATGTTAGAAATTTAATTTCTATGCTGGTAGGCAAATCCAGCGGGTTAACGCCTGTCGAGGTGGTAGAAATTTAATTTCTATGCTGCTAGGCAACCGCAGTAGCGGCAGTAGAAGTACTTTTAGTGCCGCTGGAGCGGCAGCAAAAGTACTTTTAGTGCCGCTCGTACTTTTACTGCCGCTTAACCATTCATTTGCGCCCGAGCTTACCCATTCGTTTGGAGAAAAAATAGCGTGTTGCATACGGAGTAGAAGCACTTTTTTGTGCTTCAGCAGTATTGCAAGCCTCACTACGTTCGGCTCGCAAACCTACTGCTTCAGCACAAAAAAGTAAAGCTTCTACTCCTAATACAACAATATACTATTGTCGACTAAACTGAAATTTAAAACAAAAATTCGCGTGCAATTTGGAAATGCACGAGGTCTAGAGGTGACGCATGTCAAATGCAATCTTGCGTCGACGAATTTAGCGAAATGCGTCGACGAAAGTTTCAAATTAGGCAATTCAAACCACGTGACATTCAAGATGGCGTGGCGGCCACACATGGGCCAAAAAACACAAGAAAATATCTAGTTTCTGCCCGAATTAATAGTTTAGGTACCTAGTCAAAAAATAGTTTATTAAATAATGAAAATCAAAGTTGTAAGCAAAACTGTATGCAAAATAATTTAAAATACGCATAAAAACATATTCAAAACAAACTTGCTTGGCCGCCACGCCACATTGAATTTTCCTTTTTGACAGATGGATTGAATTGCCTAATAAGCCACATGTGCATTTTTTTGAATTTCACCGCGAAAAATTGCGACTTAAGCCTAGTACTCATAACTGCGAAATTCGCATTTTTTTGACATTGCGTTGACAATTTGACGTTTTATGCGTGTATCAAACGTCAAATTGTCGAAGCAATGTCCAAAAAATGCGAATTTCGCAGTTATGAGTACTAGGCTTTAGTCAGACGTATTTGAATTGCACGTTTCAAATAAACCCCCCCAGACGCCAAAAGAGTATGAAAACCAATGAACTATAACCAAAAACTGGAATGCTAACACATAAGGACGAACTTGAAGCCTAGTGCGGCTGCTGCGGAGGGGATACCTGTTTTTGTCGCACTCATTATGTTATGGCGAAAATTGCTTCCAACACGTATTCCAATTGATGAAACCTGTGAAGGGAAATATGACAAAACTTTCGAAAACGTCATATATCAGCAAGCAACAGAAAAAAACAACATTCCCCCTTGTGGCATCTGTCTTTCATGGCTTCATTTTTATGGCAGATATGGCATTGTGTGCGCATTCCAGTTTTTAGCTATAGTTCATTGATGAAAACAACGATTGACAGCCGCTGACAGTGGTTTGCTGACAAGACTTTTGTACATGTGGAAACTGGAAACTATTATTTCAACGGTTTTTTCAAAGTTTTTTCCTAACATGGTGATTGTGTAGTGTGCCATTTTGTAAAAATAATTCCTATTTACCGGCGGACGTCTCTTTCCATAAGTTTCCATCAAACTTTGGATACATAAAATCAGAAAGAACACTCGCAAAAAAAAAGGGAAATCCACGGCCTATCAAGTATACAAAGTAATCCACGTTCAAGTTCAGTTTGCGGGAGCTGTTTGCTTCCAAAATAATCCACCGCTTTCTCCATAGCGAAGTTCTGCAAATGAATTAGTGACTTTTCCCACATTTCCTTTCAAAACACCCAATACACACTGGCATTGACAAGCAGGCAAATGTTGGCGGGAAAATGATTGTTTTCATACTTATTGTCCATCTCTTTTAATTGAAAACGTCGCGTTTTACAGCTTGCAAGAAAACTTGAATGCAATTTGTTGCATGTAAAAAAATTGCATTCAAGATTTCTTGCACATCGTTTTACACCTTGCAATTTGAATTGTTTCCTTCTATAACCTTAACCATGCTTTTTTGTTTTTAATGTTGTGTTGTTGATATTTGCATTTACCAAAAATGAAAAAAGCGATTATAAGTCGATATGAAAAAAAGAAAACAATAGCAGCCACTTTAGGCATCATATTTGCTAAAAATTCCCCAACTTGCAGGAAAACCTTCAAGAAAAATGGCACAAAACCGATTGCATGCAATGCCATTCAAGTTTCAAGAATCTTGCAGAAAAGAATCAGCTGACTCACTATTGCGCATGCTCTCGTTCAACTTTCTTGCATATTGCAGATAGAATTGCAAGCTGTAAAACGGCCTTAACAAAACGTCATATGTCAGCGAGCAACAGAAAAAAACAACATTCCCCTTTGTGGCATCTATCGTTCATGGCTACATTTTTTTGGTAGATATGGCAATGTGTGCGCATTCCAGTTTTTGACTATAGTTCATTGTGTGAAACACAGTTCAAACCACAGATTAACCCGTCCTATTTGGGACGGGTTAATCTGTGGTTCAAACTGTCTGAAATTTGACATTTTCTGTCATTATAGCCGCTTTCCAGCTGACGCTTTTGAGCACGCAATCGAGCTTTTGCGCGCGCAAATTCGCAAATGCTTCAAGCGCATATTCGTGTTCCAGCTGTACTGCGTTTCGAGAGTATGCTAACTTTTGCGTTTCAAACACAGAACACTGTGCTGCACCGTGCTTGAAGCACAAACACAAAAGTTGTATTCCTTTCAAGAGCTTGAAACACTCGAGCTACTCGCTTCGGTGCTTAGTCACCTCCGATTTGCAGGGAACATATGCGTGGTGCAACAAACACTTTTCGAAAGGAATAAGCGCGTGAAGCCCCGGAGCTGTTCCGGAGCTCCTCCTAGGTGTGAAAGGAATACAACTAATGTCAGCTGGTAAGCGGCTATAATCTGAATGGCAAATAGTAAGGGAGGATTTTCATGCATCCGTTTTTCCGACGAAATATGTCCGTTTAACATTCTATTCTGACATAATCGTATATAAATATGTCAAAATAGAATGTTAAACGGACATATTTCGACGGAAAAACGGATGCATGAAAATCCTCCCTAAAGTTGAATGCCTATTCAATCCATCTGTCAAACAGGAAAATTCAATGTGGCGTGGCGGCCAAGCAAGTTTGTTTTGGATATGTTTTTATGCGTATTTTAAATTATTTTACATAGAGTTTTGCTTACAACTTTGATTTTCATTATTTAATAAAATATTTGTTGACCAGGGGGGCTTTATTTGAAATTGGTGCAACTTTGCGTACACGCGAATGACGTCATTCGTGATTGAAAATTGGTGCACGGCTTATTTGACATGCACTTTTTCAATCGCAACTGATGTCATTTGTGTCATATTTGCGTGTACGCAAAGTTGCATCAATTTCAAATAAAGCCCCCCAGGTACGTAAACTATTAGTTCGGGCAGAAACTAGATATTTTTTTGTGTTTTTTTGCCCATGTGTGGCCGCCCGCCATCTTGAATGTCACGTGGTTTGAATTGCCTAATACTTCAAAACGAAAATATGATTGTTGAAATCAAAGCCCAAAGTCCTAAATGAACGATAGCAGTTCGAAAATCTAGAGAGCCAGATTAAATCCGGATCGGCTTGGAGCACATTCAGCAGCTAGAAATGAAAACCAGGGAGCTGTCAAAATTGCCAAAAGTCAAAGAATACTGTCCAATGTCACAGAAAGAGAAAGGAGAACGATTCGACGATTCAACTCGAGAAACGTCACAAAAAATACCTAAACAAGAGGCTGCTGTTTTGTTAGAAATTATATTATTAAAAAATTCACAGAAAAAAGGCGACAAAAGCCTTAAATTAGTTCATTGCGAATCTACCTTCAAATTACTACAAGATGGTGCTCGAAAGTACTATGATTTGGTAAGTTTTGAATTTTTTCTTGCTAGATAACCTACAATTCATAATAGATTCAATGGAATGACTAAACAATTTTTAGTAATTTCACAAATACCTACTCAATTCCTTTTCTGAAATTACATTAATTTCTTATAGTGTCGACAACAGTGACTACATGCGAAATGGGGACTTTTTGCCTACAAGACTCCAAGCACAACAGGATGCTGTTAACTTAGTTTGTCACTCAAAAACAAGATCTAATCCAGAGAACAATGTTGGACTACTCACTCTGGCAAAGTAAGTAGAAATTTGGACATTTACATCATATCTTCCCTTATTTACTCCAGTCTAATTTATGTACCCGGTGTTTTTTATCTTTGATATCATTTTGATCACCTGTAACTTTTTTGTTTTTAAAGATATCAAGGTAAACAAAGAAACACGTATATAAAGTTAGCAGTGCAAAGTCAGCAGTGCGAAATTTTTATGACAAGAAAAATTAGTGCTAATTAAGTGCTAATTAAATGCCAAGTTTACAAATTTTGTGCTCTTGTAGTTTCCGAGATATGGCCTGCACTGCTAGCTACCCGTTAAAGATAGCAGTGCACCATCCAGGAATAATCCAGGAAAGTGGTAGGGTGATATAAATGATGAAGAAAATTAAATGCTACCATTTCCATAAACACAATCTCTATTTTCAGCTTTTTTTCGAATATTTTCATAAAGCAACGCTGTTCACTACTAGCTTTATGCAGTACACATATTGAGTTTTCATGGAAGTAGGGATTGGTAGAGTTTTCGACATTTGAATAATTTAGTGCCAATTAAGTGCTAATTAAATGCCAAGTTCACAAATTTTGTGCTCTTGTAGTTTCCGAGATATCGCCTGCACTGCTAGGTAGCTACCCGAGTAGCTACCTGTTAAAGATAGCAGTGCATCATCCAGGAAAGTGGTAGGGTGATATAAATGATGAAGAAAATTGAATTATATCAAACACTTTATTAGCAATAAAAAGCTTTTACAAAATGATTTTATGAAATATTTTAAACCAGTAGGTATATACCCAACATGGAATGTCTGGAAAAGTATTCAACAAAGTCTATAAAGTTCTTACATATTTTTTACATTCAGTCTTAAATCTAGAGTAGGAGTCACATTGCTTCAATTCTGCGGGTATACTGTTAAACATTCTTAAGCCTACACTAAACAAAGTGTCACTCTGAAAATCACTAATGTAAAAATTATTTACCACACTGGATCGCGTTTGGTATGAATGAACATCTCGCACATAAGTAACTTCATCAGATAAATATGATGGTAACATATTGTTTTAGTTTGAAAACAAAAGTTAGCATTATGTAAGTAGATCTTTGTTGTACATTCATAAGGTCTAATTTCTCCAGCATGGATTTTATTGGTGTTCTTTTGTTACAGTTTTTGTAGCATGTCTTTTTGAGTCAAACTTAGATAATGATACAATGTACCGCAATATTCGAAATGAGGAGCAATTATTGACTTAAAAATTGTGAGTTTAGCGAAAAGTGAAATCTTGTTATTCAATCTGTAAAGAAAACCTGCTTTTTTTGCTATTTTCTTTTTTATGTAGTCACAGTGCAAGGATAGATTAAGTTCAGGATCCAGCATTACACCCAAATATTTGAAAGATTTAACCTGTTCTAAGATATCGTTATTCATAATTATTTTTACTGCTGCATTAGTACTTTGTCTTTGAACTTGATTAAGGCAATGTTTAGAACCAAGAATCATGAATTTCGTCTTTGCAACATTTAGTTTTAAACCATTTTCTATGAGCCACACATCAATATTTTCAAGATCTTTGTTTAACAGTTTTTCCATTAATGTTATTTCATCAATATCACAGACAAAATAAAGCAAAGTGTCATCTGCGAATAATTTTATTTGACAATGTTTGACATGAAGAACTATATCATTGATGAACAACAGGAAAAGAATAGGTCCCAATACTGAACCCTGAGGAACCCCTTGATCTATGCCTATGCTATTGGAATTGGCATTTTTAAATTTAACCTTCTGAAATCTCTCACTTAAGTATCCTTTGAACCATTTTAGTGCTATGCCTCGAATACCATACTTTGCCAGTTTTAGTAACAAAAGATCAATGTTTACTGTCTCAAAAGCTCTACTGAGATCCAAAAATACTACACCAATGACTTTTTTCTTCTGTATTTGAGATTTCCAACCTGATATCAAAAACTGCAAAGCCGTGAATGCTAATTAAATGCTACCATTTCCATGAACAAAATTTGTATTTTCAGCTTTTTTTCACATTTATTTATTTATTTTTATTTATTTATTTTTATTTATTTATTTATTTATTTATGGTCTAACAGGATAAACCCAATAACAAGACAATTATAATAATTTCAAATTAAAGACTAGATAAATGCTATTGTAAACTTAAAATTAGGTTCATGAAGTAACTAACTATAGTTTGTAATTAACAATTGAGAGAAAACAGATGTAAATTAAGTATATTAAGTAGTATCAACAGCTTCCCCCAGCAAAACCCCAGGACAAAAAGTTAACCCCAAGCTAATCAGCAATACTCCACAAAAATGCTAGATTCAATAATTAATTAAAACAATTACTAGAGCAATTTAATTCAGGAGAGCATTTTTTATCTGTGATATAATTTTAGTTTTAAATGACTTTACAGTACCATTGAAAAGATCCAACTCAAGAATAATGGGTATCAATTGACTATGCTATGAGCAGGCTCTATACAGGGTGTCCCACAATCAGCGTTACAGGCCATAACTTTCTTATTTTTAGAAATAAAAATTTGAAAAAAAAATGACTAATGGTTAGTTAAGCTCTCTTCAAAAATATAAAAAAATCTTCCCATGACAAAATCATCCCCTCCCAAGTAACACGAAACGATCTATTTGTGGTTTAAAACACATCTATGGCATCTAAATTGCATCTATGTCTGACTTAGATTAAATTTTAGACGTCTATTTTGGACGATTTTTATACGATACGTACAATAGACGTTTTTTAGATTTCTATTTATTTCAGGAAAATACACTTTTATACATTTAAAAGCTATGTCAAATGTCTAAACTAGATCTAATACTCTTCGTTAATAGATGTTTATTCCTGTAAATTTTAAACCTCTATTTTAGACCATTTGTAGACAATACGTTATTCCTGTAAATTTTAAACCTCTATTTTAGACCATTTGTAGACAATACGTACAATTACACCGGTTTTTAGATCTATTTCATTATCTATCAATCTATATTCACCATCTATCAGATATCTAAACTAGAAATCTAATATTTGTAAGTAATGGATGTCTTTTTCAAGTAAATTTTAGACGTGTTTTAAACTATTCCGCTAATTCGCGGTACGTGCTGAGGACTGCGCGTGCGCGTTACGAAACTCTTTAGTTGATAATTTTGGCATCCCAGGTTGTCGCTGCGATCGTTGTCGTTACTCGTTATAACAACGTTGTTGGTTCAGTTGGTTGCTGGTGTGGTTGTGGCGGGTGTCCATGTTGTGGCGTGCGATTGCCGATTAGGGCTAATGCGATTTTAATCTTGTCCGTTCCCTATTTATTTTCGCGAATAATCGCCGTATATTTTTGGTTTTTGGTGGTTGTACGTATTCGCGATTGATGGATTAATCATTAATCGGTTTCGCCAATTTGCATGGTGTGTTTATGGGTAAGTTTTTAGTTTTATCTTTTTTATAGTATAATTATAATTTATTTTTTCTCACATTACCGGCATACAAAATCGTGAAAAGAATGTTAATATTGCAGTAATAAATGTTTCTACTATCTAGAAAAAAAACTTGGTCATACAGTGTCCGCCATAAAGTTGGGTACATGTGTGTGTCGTGTATAGGTTAGGTATTTATTATAATAAAAAAAACATGAAAATGGCGCCAATACCGACTACGTATTTTATTGGAAGGGATAGTGCCCACTGAGTGTATTTGTCTTCTTCTACCAACTTGTTTAAGATAGACATGAAAATACATTTTTTTCTGCCCTGGTTCTACCAATAAAATTCGCTAGTCTGACGCCACAAGAGGCGTGGCTTGACTCTTGAGAAACCTTTCCAAACAAACAACGGTTTACAATATATAAAATCCCATAAGGGAATTTTTACTACCCGTTTATTGTTCCATTTGGTTTGGATAAGGCTTCTAGCTGAGATATTTAGACAAAGTGTGCGCGTATTGACCGATTTTCATAAAAATATTTGCCAAGGTACCTAAGTCTTCCGTGCCAGTTTTTGACGAAATAAATAGCTGAATGACAGTTGAGGTTATGTTTTTTTTCTATTTTGCGAGTTTATAAATTAGAAAACTAACTTTAATACTGTTTTTTCTTGAAGATTGAAAGTTAATTATGCCTCCTTTACGGAAATCCTAAAATATTTTTGTATTTCTTTAATTAGGAAGAGGGTTTTTCAAATTTGGCTGAAAACAACTACATAAACAACCTTAAATTCTTTAATTTCTCGAAAATACAGCGGATATTGGAAATTTTTACATAGAAATCAGTCGATATACACACACTTTATCCAAATATCAGAAACAGAAGCCTTATTCACGTAGAACTGAAGAATGCGAAGGCATTAAAAATTACCTTATGGGTTTTTACATGCAAACCGTTGTTTGTTTGGAAAGGTTGACTGGCGATCACGTGCCGGCATGACGTCACGACTTAGGTAATCTATTCCTTAATTCTTAATTTTTGTCCCTAATTCTTAATTCGTAAAAAGTTCAATTTATTTAACATTGGTGTTTTCAAGGATTAAGAATTAAGAAAAAAAATTAAGAATTAAGGAATTGGGTAACACCGGCCTTCGTAAAAAATAGTTACGATAATAAATAATTAATGCTGTGTGTTTTTTTTTACAGATTTGCTCGCAGATTTGTTAGTTTTCCTATTAATAATGCTTTCCATTCCCTTGATCCATTATGTCTCTTAAAATTATATCTAAACGCCACTTAAGACGCCGTATTTCTAGAAACACAAAAAACGCCATAGAAAATATTATAATTAATGAAAAATATGCAGCCTCTGGTTCAGCAGCAGAACAAATTGTAATAAACAATAACAATTTTCATTTAAATTCAATAGAATTAGAAAATATTTCAAACACCGATGATAATGTAATGATTGTTGACGATAATGAAACTGATGACCGTGACGTAAATGATGAATATTATTATGTGCCCAATAATCAAAATACTTTTACTGACAACAAATATTTTGATGAAAAAAATTCAAAAGAAAATGAAGACAGGTTAAAATTAAATAGTCAACAAATCTCCCAAAAAATAGAAGAAGAAGCGTTTGTTAGTAGTTTTAAGAAATGGGCTTGTCAGAATAACGTGCCTCATAAATGTTGCAATGAAATAATTTCTCTAATAAGGCCGAAGTACCCGTTTTTAAAAAAAGATATACGTTCAATTTTAGGAACACCAAGAAAAGTTGAGACGACGATTTTAGAAAATGGCGAGCTAATATATTTTGGTATCGAAGCTGGTTTAAGAAAAAAAATTGATTCAAAAATTATTGAACACACGTTAATTTCAATACAAATAAATATTGATGGGATACCGCTATATAATAATAGCACTATTGAATTTTGGCCTATTTTAGCCAAAATTAAAAACGATAAGGCCCCATTTGTTGTGGCTGTATTTTGTGGCAAAGGCAAGCCTACACCAATAGAATCATTTTTGTTAGATTTTATTGAAGAGTCAAACCAATTAAGAGACTCTGGATTCAAGTACAATAACATTTTGTACCAGTTCAATATTTCTCTTTTTACTTGTGATGCACCAGCCAGGTCTTATTTGAAAAATATTAAGGGGCACACAAGTAAATTAGGTTGTGAGAGATGTACTCAAAGTTCATTATACATAGAAAATAAAAGATTTTACGACGTGAATGATATTACCAGTACAAAAAGAAAAGATTCTGATTTTGAAAAACCAGAGCTTAAAAAAATTGACAAAAATAGACCCCAAAAATGTGATCATATTAAAGGTTTATCCCCATTAATAAAGTTAAATTTGGGTTTAGTTAGTCAATTTGTATTGGATCCGATGCACTTATTGTATCTTGGCGTGACAAAACGATTGCTCGTAAAATATTTAGTTGAAGGAAAAAGACGTATTAGACTATCCAAAACTGCCACAGGCAACATTAACTGCCAAATAAAACAATTGAAGTTCCCTGAGGAATTCAGTAGAACCTTACGAACTCTGCAAGACGTTAAGAGGTGGAAAGCTGTAGAATTTAGAATGTTCCTGTTGTATTATGGACCTATCCTATTGAAAAATAATGTGAGCAAAGCGATTTATGAACATTTTTTATATTATCATGCTGCTGTCTTTATATTATCGAATGACTATTTTCTTGAAAATTATCTTGACATTGCAGAATCAGCTCTAGCTCATTTTGTTTATAAATCAGCAGAAATATACGGAAAATTCTTTGTGGTGTACAATGTACATTCATTGATTCATGCATGTGAGGACGCCAGAAAATATGGTAATATAGAAAATTACAGCTGCTTCGATTATGAGAATTATTTGGGAAAACTGAAAAGGAGAGTTAGAGGAAAGCATCGCCCTCTGCAACAAATTTATAATAGAATATGTGAAATGAACAACAGTGATGTTTCAAATAATCATTCCAAGAAAATAAAAGAGCATGTGAAAGGGGTATTTTCGGAAGAAAACGGTTATTTTCAGTGCATAAAATATTATAATGACAGATTTGTTTTATCTTTAAAAAAACCTAATAATATAGTTGCAGTTCGCAAAAAAATATTTACAATAAAATCAATTTATTTTTTAAATAGCGTTTACTGGTGCTCAGGCGTACCTTTTAAATATATGTACAATTTTTATGAAAAACCCATAGAATCCTCAAAATTGAACATATATTTTGTCAGAGGAACAGGAAAAGTGGAAAATTTTACTATAAGTAGCATAATGTTCAAATGTATAGCAACAGCATATAAAGACGGTTTCATTATTTTCCCAATTTTACACACAACTTGTGCTCCCATGTACTAAAGCCTTATAAGGCAGTTTAAGATGGATTAGATTATACAGGGTGGGGCACGAAAAACTTCCCACCCAGGTTTTCTCAGGTGTTAGGTGATTAATCAAAAATCGCTCAGACACGTAAGTTTTTGTTTTTTAGGGGACGCATTTTATTGGTATATTTTCAACCCCTACTTATCAACCCCTAAGTGGGGGTGACAGGTACCCCCAAAATTTCAAATGGAAAGGGAGGTCGACTGAGACGTCATTTTTGATAGCTATTTCTATTAAGATTAAATCCCCAAAGTTTTAAGTTGCTACTATTTACCCTGCCGAAATGGCGCTTGTCAAAGTTGGGAAAAATGCATTTTTTCGAATACCTAGACTGTGTGGTTTTCACCTCATAATAACGAAACAGCATATTTTGTTATCCATAGTAACAAAATAACATTGTTATTTAATTTAAGTATTGTTATTCAACAGTTCAGCTTGAAATGGTTCATGTTGATTCAATTCAAGATAGAATCACTGTATCAGTTGAAGCATACATTTTTCCTAACTTTGACAAGCCACCATTTCGGCAGGGTAAATAGTAGCAGCTTAAAACTTCTGTGGATATAATCTTAATAAAAATAGCTATCAAATGACCTATCACTCGACCTCCCTTTTCATTTGAAATTTTGGGTGTACCTGTCACCCCCACTTAGGGGTTGACAGATAGGGGGTGAAAGTACTAATGAAATGTGTCCCCCAAAAACAAAAGTTGACGTGTCCGAGCGGTTTTTGATTAATCACCTAACACCTGAAAAAATCTGGGTGGGAAGTTTTTCGTGTCCCACCCTGTATATTTTAATTCAGGGCCAAGCCGAGACTGGAGAGTGGAAGTGCTGAGAATATATTTATTGTGTTATAGCATAGGAGTATCAAAAAATAAATTTTGCTTACCTACTATAAATTTAAATTAGGAGTTAATTGTATAATATGTAATTGGTTCATTGGATAGGTAAATAGAGTACATTTTATTGTTCAAAATATATTCTCAGCGTTTCAACAAATTACTCGCAAATACTTTCTTCTAAAACCTAAATCTGGAATTATTTGGGAGTAGTACACAATTTTTAGTAGTGGCTTATGTCTCAAGACGTCGGTAGGTACGTAAAGTAATATTTTATGGATTGACTATAAAATTATCTAAGAACCTACTTTGGGTATATAATAATATATAGTTACGCATGGTTGTCAAAAAATTATTTCAATAAAACGAAAGTTCAAATTAAGTACCCATATAATTATAGTATGTACCTACATTGATTAAATTTTTAATTGTTATTACCGAATATTACTTGAAATAACGGCGTTTTAAAATTGGTATTTTAAGTGAGACTTTTCCTCAATCTATAAGCTTCCCGTTTATATCCAATCCTCATAGACGCAGAAGATTAAGCAATAATAATGGTGCAAACATATGCCATTGTTGAATTTGAGAAAAAAGATTGTGCGATTGTTCCAATGACGTGGATATGTGGAAATAATTGCTTCTGGCCTAAAGCTAATATTCCAAGGTTGGTTTCTGAATATGCTCCACCCAAGGAAGATTGGTCCCAGCATATGATTATCAAAATTCATGATACTTTAGGTTTGTGTACCCTACATAATAATATATTTGAATATAGCAGGCTTAGGTTTGCATAACGTTTTATTGCACCTTCCATGATGAAGTTGCTTATTCTGTGTAGTTAGAGTAGTTCTAAGTTCTAAATTTTATTAATATAGTTATAATTTAGATAACTCTAGTTCTGAAGTCCATTCTGGAATAAAATTTTAGTCAATAAAATCTCTATATATGTTTTAGAGGGAATTGAAAATTGTGAAAGAAGACTATCACAAATTATTGAAGAATCTACTAATTCCGAATCAGTGAATTGTCTGACGTCTTCTTTAGTTCGAAGAGAAATAATGAATAGGAATTCAGGGAATTCAAGTGATGACATGACGGAAAGGGGTTCTGAATTTCATAATAGGTATATACCTAAAAAAATTAATTAATATATAATAACAGCAAAAATATTAAACAATATTTAAACTTACATATATATTTTTTTATCCAGTAAAAGTGATCCAAATATAAATGAATTGATGGATGAAGATGATGTTCCATCCAAAAACTCCTCTGACTCTTCCGAGGACTTACCTTTGGCAAAAAGAAAGAAAACTTTAAAAGTAGATTCTAGTAAATCCAGGTAATAATTTAATATTGTACTTACAAAATTTTAATTATTAATATCAAATCTCCCTCATAAACTTGTAGTGCATCAAGAGGAAAAAAAACAGTCTTGAAAGCCAAAAAGAAAAAAATTGTCTGCAGAGAAAATAACGTGTGGCCCAATTCTTCCAGTAGTGATGATGATGAAAAATCGCATAAAGGATACAATACACCCAGCACTATCAAAGTAACTGAAAAACTCAAAACAACTTTCGCTGCATCTGAAGATGAAAGTTGGAATAATTTTCCTTCAAAGGCGGAATCTTCAAAGAACGCGAGGGTCAAGGAGTAAGTCTTTAAATTTACTAAAACCTTTAACTATGAGTAAGATGGTAGGGCATCTGAATGACAAGATACAAAAAATTCATACATAAAAAACATTATTATTATTATAATACAAATTCTGAGAGACATGGGAATTCTTCAAAACCTAATTGCTTAGATCAAGAACTAAAATTAAATTTAATAATATAACCATATTGAATCTATTTGAAGCAATGAAAATATTAATTCAGATTCCCAATCGTTAGGATGCATGTATAGCAAATTCTTATAAATATAGGAAAAGGAAAAATAATAACACAATTTATTGAATTTTAGGACAAATTCAAATGTTGCAACGGAGCCTAAAAAAAAAATACGGGTTTTGCAAAATGTCATTCTTCCCCAGAATAATACCCTGAATTTTTCACAAAGCAGATTTTCAAAACCTAATAATGACAAAATTGCTACCCAAAGTTGTGTTCCAAGTACATCATCTTCCTCCACAACTCCAAAAAAAGGTTTCGAGGCAACTGTTATTCAGCATTTGCAGAAACTTACTGAAGTACAAGATCAGAACACTCTTAAAATCGACCAGATGTGGAAATTTCTGAATGAAAGTAAACTAAAGCACGTGTCAAAACCAGAAGAGTTTCCGATACTGCCTGTGGACAGGAAAGCAGATTTCCAAAAACTGGAAGAACTTCTATTGGATGAGCCAATGCACACTTATTTGGTAAGCAAACTACTAACCTTTCTAAGGGCCAAATTATGAACCGACTGATAAGTGTCAGGTTATTACCTAGCAGGAACTTTCCATGCTCTAGAGAATAGAAAGTACCTGCTAGGTAACAACCTGACACTTTTCAATTGGTCCATAATTTGGCCCTAAATGAATAAGTTTGATAAGTTGATATGTGGGTACCTATCTGTAAGATCTATTTTTATTTTTATTTTTATTTTTTTAGAAAAATCGTCTAGCGTGTATTGGGGGCCTTAACGTGAGAACCACAGTAATGGGCATGTTAAAATTTTGCATCACCAATAGATTAGCGACGAAGTTTAACTGGGCAGGCCAGAATAAGAAAGCCTTCAAAGCCACCAAGTTAAAAGATGTCATTTATGGTAATATTAAGTAAGTATAGGGTCGATAGTAAAACTGATTATTTAATTTTCAGAAGCCACTGAGCTTTGCTTTTCTTCTGGAAATGGAAAACCTTCGGATATGAATGATAAGGTCATTAATCAAGCCATGAAGGACTGGCTAAGATTGGCGGCACAAAGAAAAACAATATAATTCGTATATAAATATATTTGTTTCATATACAAATCATCTCAATTAAGTTACTAAATTAATAAATATAATTTTGTAATGAAAATTTTAGTAATATAGCTATCCCCGATTAATGTAGGTATAGTTTTTTTATTATGACCAATTATAGTAGGTATACATCCATGTTCGTACAGATTATGCTTGCAAAAAAAAATTAAGTAACTCAGAATCACAAAAAGCCTGAATAACACGACTAAAACTGACAATTACTTTCAGCTCTCCATTTTTATAATAGTTATTTTTTTTTTTTTTGAAGAAAATATGCCCATAAAGAGGCATGAAAAAAATAAAGGACGTTTAAAAAACATCTATAAAAAATTAAAATATACACTGTGGGCCAAATTAAGTTGGAACATAATTTGACCAATAATAACTTTTATGTCTGTTTATGGATTTTAATGATTTTTGGATATGATATTAGTCAATATGTTTTTGTTGCAACCTTAAAATTAATTTGACCAATTTTGGTCAGGTCCGGACTTACGACGATTTTATTAAATCGGTGTATTTAAGTTCGTTGCAAAAATGAACTGCACTACTTACAAACCAACTATTATTATTTTTTAGAAGGACATTTATGGGAAAACAAATCCTGAAAATATAAATATTTTAGAACCAAAACCTGAGAAACTATGATTTTTTTGACTAATATGTAATTCAAATAGGAAATTTTACATTACTTTAATCCAGATTGCTTTGGAATCAGACAATTGTCAAATTTTTGACATTTCATTAAGCTGTTTAATTCAATAGTATATTTCCTAACTAGTTCGGAAAGTGTCACTTTACCGCACGCGATTGCATTTGACCGAACGACGCGTAGCGGAGCAAAGAAAATGTGGAAAGTTGTTTTTTTGTCTTGCAAGTTGACCCCTACCTCCCACCTTTTCGGTCACTGAAAACTGTCAGGCATTTTTTATTTTTGAATTATTTATCAATGTCAATATTTTATTCAAATGCCAGTCAACGGATCATAGCCAATGGAGAAGACGCTTACAGACCGTAGTCGATAATGAAGGGGGCTTCATCCACAATCAATTTCTTCAATACTTACAAACTGCACTATAGTGCAGTTCATTTTTGCAACGAACTTAAATACACCGATTTAATAAAATCGTCGTAAGTCCGGACCTGACCAAAATTGGTCAAATTAATTTTAAGGTTGCAACAAAA